ATGTTCTTACTGCATTTTCTACAATATGAACGTGTGTGTGTGTGTGTGTGTGTGTATGTGTGTGTGCTAGTGGGGAGTACATGTGCATGTGTGCACGCACGTGAATGTGCATCTGTGTGCATAAATGTGTGAATGTAGTTTATGTGTGCATGTGTGTACATGTGTGTACATGTGTGTATGCATGTCTGTATGTGTGCATAAATGCTCCATGTTTGCATGCACGTGGGCGTGTACAGGCACAGTGAGCACACGGTGGTCAGAGGACAATTTGTGGGAGCCAGTTCTCTCCTCCCACATGGAAGACTGGATTGGGTTATCAGGTACGGCAGCAGAAACCTTGTCCACTGGACCTACACAGTTTTGGTGGGAGTGGGGTAGTTTGTTTTCCTTTTGTTTTGACACAACTATGAATGGGATTGTCCCCTGCTGTCCTCCTCAGCATATTTGTTTTTGGTGGCTAGGAAGGATTCTGATTTTTATGCTGACTTTTGGGATCTCTTACATGTAGAAAGATCGTCTGCAGTTAGAGATGCCGACCTCCCTTCTCTGTTTGTATCTCCTGTGTTTGCTTCTCTTGTCTTACTGCTCTAGCTGGGATGCCCAGCAACGCATCCGGTCAGAGGAGAGAATGTAGTTTTAGTGGAAATTCCTTCAGTTTTTCCCAATTTAGTACACTGTTGGCTGAAGGTTTCTCCCGTAGAGCCTTGGATATATCGACAAATGTTCCTCCTGTTGCTAGTCTTCTCGGGGCTTTTATCACAAAGGGATTTGGGATTTTATCAAAAGCCTTTTCTGCTTCCGTTAAAAGGTCACATGATTTCTGTTCCTGAGTCCATCTGCACGGGCTGAGCCACGCCCCCCTCCCCCCCCCCCCACCCCGCACCTGTGTAACAAAGCAAGCTTTACCATGGTCGGTCATCAACACGGTGTGTTCTTAGATCTGGTTTGCAGAGAGCAGAGGGAATGGTTCTGCATATATGTTCTGCTCTTTGTCTGTCTCTTGTATGTGTGCCGGGTGATCCTAGCTTCACAAAACGCCGTTAGTGCCCTCTCCTCCCCTAGCGTGTGGAGGCTGGAGCCGCTAATTCGTCTTTAGAGGACTGACAGGATTCATCAGTGAATCCTTTGAATCTGGATGTTTCCAGTTTGTTGTAGATCCACTAAAATTATTTATGTAAGGAAATATTTATCTCATTTATCTAATGGTGTAATTATATTTTAGTTCTTAAAATATCTTTAGAGTTTGAAAGATGTCTCTTAACTATTTGCATGTCCATTTCTTTGTGTGAAAACCTATTTTTTAATTTAAATAAAGAAAAGGTATTCTTTTTTCTTCCTTTCTCGATTTCTCCAAGAATCGACAAATCTAACTCGACAGTCTGCAGGAACGCATTTGTAAAGCTGGCGTGTAAAGCTGGCGTGTAAAGCTGGCGTGTGATGGGGACACTACCAGATCGACAGTCTAGTCTCAAAAATAGAAAGGACACTATCTGTATTCATTTCCTTGAATGATAAATAGAGGTGCACAGTGCCCCCCTTATGAGGACCAGTCAAGTCATAAGGACCCCCCTGTGTCCCTCAACCTGCAGCTTGTGATACTTATCATAATATTTTGGCCATCACTTCAGCTCAAGGGGATCTGACGCCCTCTTCTGGCCTCCATTGGTATTGCCATGTGTGTGCACATACACACATGGAGATATATATATAACCAGGCAGCTGGTTCCAAAAGACTGAAAGATTCAGGTTCACGTCAAGCAAGGCGTGATGCTATCCTTCTGTAGCGGGACACGGTGTCGCTGGTCTTTGATAATCAGGGCCCAGATCCATTGCTTCACCGGAGCTGTCATTTCTTTCTAACAACTGGAACACTTTATAGAAATACCATGCACAGCATGAGTCCCAAGACTTGGGAGGCTGAGGCAGAAGGATCGTGAGTATGGAGTCAACCTGGACTGCAGAGCATGAGCAAGCAAAAGCCAGCAGAAGTGGTAGGCACGGTCGTATGAGCAGCTGCACGGCAGATGATCCATCACTGTCAGGGTTCACGGCGGAAGTACCAGCAAAGCTTGACTCTTTCCTGAAGCTCACATTTCAGAGTAAGACCTCCCGGCTTGACTCACCTTGATCTTTGAGGATTTCCTGACCATAGTATTTACTATCCTTGGGCTTCACATTGGTTCATCTCCAGGCAACAGAAGTGTCCCCAACTTATCTCCTCCATCCTTTTGCCATGAGCACAATAAACTCTGCCAGCTTCCTTACAGGACAGATGACAAGATATCCCTGCCTTCAGCATAGCTCCTGAATCTACTAGTCCTCTAAGAAACTCCAGTTTCAGGGTTGACATCATAGACACCAAGAAAGCAGAAACAGAGTCGGTCAATGTTCTAGTCATCCTCAGAGAACACAGAGCAGTTGATGCTGACATTGCCTATCAAAACACAGACTTCTCTGTAGCCTAGGCTAGCCTCTAACTCACAGGCCTGCCTCTGCCTCCTGAGTGCTGGGATTAAAGATGCAGACCACCACGCACAGCGCAAACACAGACTTTTAATTTAACATTGTCTACATATCTCTAGCTCCTCTCTCCATGACACCCCCATTTTCAAGAACACAGGATGGTCCCAGCATTCAGAAAGCCGATGCAAAAAGATCACAAGCTCAGGTCTGCTATAAACAAACATAAACACCACAAACAAACATGAAAGACGGAAGGAAAAGAACTTTGTGAGCTATCCTGAGTACAGGATGTAAGTTAGTGGTCGAGTGCTCGCCTGCTATATGTGAGCGTACCCTCCCCGCTGAAAAAAATAAATAGAAAATTTTCATTATTACCCATCGCTTGCTCACAGATTTCACATTGTCTCCGAATAACCCTACTGTGTGCATCACAACTAAGGTCATTGTTAAATATGGGTCCGCACGGGAAGAGCCTGCTGCTGGTGACAGCATATGCTTTCTTTCTGCAGAAAGCTGACCACAGAGAAGGCACAGGACATAGAGAAATCATCTCAAGTCAACCAGGAGACACCCTCCCTGCTGTCCAGCTCTCAGGGCTTGAGCAGATGTTGCAGGTACTCACACCCACAAGCCGGACTTAGTGGGTCATCAAAAAAAGTGTAAAGATAGGAAATTCTAGTGCATGCATTATGGGAGGGCTATGGAGGGAATTAGAGGCAGGGGGTGGGGGGAGGAAGATAGATGTGTTTGGATTTTATTATTGTGAGTGTGTATGGAATTCTCAAAGAATAAAGACAATTTTAAAGTAAAAAAGCTTTAGAACTGTTGTATCTGGTTCTCCCGGTTGTTCTCGTCGCTCAGTCCTGGTATAGCCTTGGGATCAAGGAATACATCCATTGAATGCTGAACATGTTTTCCTAGGAAACGGTAGTCAGCATAACTCTACAGACAGCTATACTCTTCCATGCTCATCACCAAAAGCACCAATGTGACTTCTCCAGCCACTGGGGAGAACATCACCCCCGTTTCTGAACAGCCGTGACTTTGTGCCCTTGATAAATCTGAGTCCCTCTTGTTCGCCCGACGTTCTTGGCTCACACTTTCTTCCCCCGGGGTGGGGAAGGAGTTGAGCACACCACTCTACTATCTTAGAGAAAATTGCCACGGAGAAGTTGGATGGCTTTCCCAGATGCTCTGAAGCTAAACTGTTTCCTTCAGTCGTTTTAGTGAATCGTGGGTTACGTTCATATTCTTGAGTATGCAATGTATATTCTTTCAACTTACACACTGTGGGTGATTTTCCTTGGGTTTAGATTTTTAGGACTCTGGTCTATGAATTTTTGAAACACAAGAGTTCCTCTCATCTGTATCCAGGCTCTGCTGGACACCAGCACTCAGTATTTTCTCAGTGTTTTTTGTTAAATCGCTCATATTTTAAATGAGTTTGAATTCGTCCCTTTAATCCGAGCCACCATCTGCGTACATAACTGCTTGCTCTACGTTAGCCTTCATTTTTAAATGGTTTTATTTGATGTCTAACTGTTTCCTGGGCTTTGTCACTTTGCTTCTGTCCCTTCTTACACCCAGGACCATCTCCGTGAATGTTGCGCTTGCTCTAGAGTCAAATGTTACCGCGTTTACCAGATTTTGCAGCCGTATCTTGGCAGTGGGGTTTTGTTACCTGTGTGGATCGGATCCCAGCTTGGTCTGAGCTGCTGTGATGTGTGAGATTTCACCTCAGTCCTTTTTATCGTGCCTTTCATTCTAAATTCTTTCTCCTAGCCTTTGAGAAGTGTGTTTCCAACTCCATTGAGTAATTAAGACATAGGAGCTTTGCCAAACACTGGTAGCACAGAAACAGCCACCAGTTCCAGCCTGGCCTACAGAGTGAGTTCAAGGGCAGCCAGGGCTACACAGAGAAACCCTGTCTCAAACAAACAAACAAACAAAAGCAGTAGCTTCATTTTGGAGACTGTTTGCGGGACTGTGTAGTTCTGTTTCTTTTTGCTCTATCTGAATGCTGTCTTTTTTTTTTTTTTATCTGTATGCCTCCAGCTTGCTAAATCTTGTTCAGGTTCCTCTAAGTGCACAGTCCTTAGAGGGAGCTCTGCCTGGTCAGTTCTGCAAGCTCCAGCCCCTTCAGAGATGACCGAGAACTTTTTGTACTCACTCCTCACTATTCACTACTGATGTGGGCCACACAATTCTTGCTGTGGATAGCTAGCCCAGCACACCCTGGTGCCCCTCTGCTTCCTCCCCACAGGGACTGACCCTAATTCCATTGGAAATGCTGCCCATAAGACTAAGACGTGACATCCAGTGTCTCTGTTTATGAGTTAAGAGAGAATTCTGGGAGATTTACCAGCCACAATCGTTGCTGTTGCTTTCTGCCACTAGCTGATGCTACTGCAGAGGTCAAAGGTCTTTAAAAGTGTTTCTGTAGAGAATTTCTTGCAATAAAGATGCTTTTGAAATAGCTTAACATTTTCAGAAATAATACAGGCAAAGTAGTAGAATAGAAACTGCTTTCTGCTCACCTCAAAGATTCTAAACATCCTGAAATGTAAATTATAATCAGTCCCCAAGACCATTAAGAAGGAGTTGGCAGTGACCGTGGCGATCATCACGACCTGGAAGAGAGTACTCTTGGTAACCTTCCTGAAGTAAGCCTGGCATTCTTTATCCTTCCTCCTGTCAAAAAGAGGAATAAGAGGTGTGGTTACATAGAGCAGTTCCATCCCCACACAACTGCGCCCCTCTTAGGGCTGAAGCAGTTGTTCCTCGCACACTGGAAAAAGAAATATACAGGGGCTCAGAAACAGCTAGGTGGCACACTGACCCCTGAGACACAGTGATAAGAGTGGCCTGTCCCCACCAGGTTCCTCTCCCTAAACTCCTGAAAAAGCGGTCACTACCTCTCAGGTAATGCTTCCTTAAACACAAGGAAATACTGGAGCATCATAGGAAAAACTTTAATGAGTAAGTACACACATCAAATGACATCTATCACTGATTTACAATCATGTATGTAGAGTTAGATACATATGCACACACAAATATATACGTTCACAAGTCTTGATAAAAACTCAAATACCCTAAGAGAAAAGGAATACACAGGATAGTACAGATGGTGCGAGGGAGACACAAAGTAACACCGTTATGTCTTCTGCTGATAAAATCAGTTAAAATTCCCATGTGATACATTTTGTGCTCACAAGTGAAATGTGGTGGACGTTCTTCTTAAGGAACAAGGAAACCTACACCGGTCAGTTTGAATTCAAAACAAAAGTGAAACAGAAGACTGGAACAGTTCAAGTCCTCTCAGTCAGACTCTAGCCCAAAAGAAAATAAGCCAATAAAATGAAGGAGGTGACTTCAGTTCCACATGTTTATCCCACAATTATTTATAGTGATGAGAACTTGAAAACACCTTTAAAATCTAACAGAGAGGACGGGTTAACCACGTAGTGGGCCCCAAAAGTTGTCCTCTGACCTCCATACAGGGGTCAGGACACATGCATGACCCTACGTAAAAACACACAAATAATTTTTTTTTTAATTTTAAAATACTAGTTAAGTAAACCATGCAATTATCATGTCTACACATTTTCCCATGGCTTAGAAAATCGATTATGATCTTCTGAAGAACAAGGCACAAAGACAAGTTGTAACATTGTCATCTCAAAAGCCATACCATCTGTGTACAAATAGGTGGGGAAAACCCAGCAAGAGCAACTGTATCGGGCTGATAGTACCTGCAACAAGACGAGGAGGAGGCCGTTGGCCTTCCTTATTTATTTATTTATTTATTTATTTATTTATTTACATTTACCTGTGCTTTGAAAGTTTTCTTAAAGAGAAGTATGTTTTTCCTACTATGTGTAACAAATTAATATTCTCTTACATATATGTGTGTGTGTGTGTGTGTGTACATATATCTGTACACACACACACACACATGTGTGTGTGGAAGCCTGCATCTGCGGTCCCAAACCTTCTCCAGAAGCTGAGGACGGAAGATTGCTTGCCTGAACCTGTGACATGGTGAGTCCTTTGTCTTAAGATGCAACACACAGGGGTAGCTGAAGCGCCTTCTGGCCTCTGTGGCAGCATAGATGCAGGCAGCACATACATACCTGCAGGCACTCACATAACACACCCCCAGCTAAAAAAACAACAGGAACAAAACCCCACCAACTATATATATTCTATCATCTATAACAAAATGGATCATCTTCGTTCTATGATTTGAAATAGGTCCTGTGGCAAAAGAAAGAAAAAGTCTTCAAATTATCGAATATTTTAATAGAAAAACAGCACTCCAGGTGAGCAGCAAACGCGCTGACCTCTGCCTCCAGAGAGGCCAACAAGTCTGAGACAAGCTCTCCTATCTTGGGGTGCAGACAGGTACCTGTGGAAGAGGCTAGGAGAACTTGGGTGTCCAGAGCCAAGGCTATCCCTCACTCATCTCCTAACCATGGAGGGAAAGGAAACTTACTTAAATTTGTTGAGTTTTGCTTGCAACGCCTCCGACGCCGTAGTGAACAGCGAGCCGGATTTGACTCGGACAGCACTGTAGTGGTGATGATGTTGAGACATTTTTCCAAACTGTCTTAACCCCTCACTTTTCTTATACAGCTAAGCACCTCTGCCTAAGGATCTCCTTGGCACCTGAATTCTAAGCAGCAGCGGAGAGGGACCCTGGACAGGGTTCTCTGCTTTATGAGATCACTCATAGGCATTCTAGCCGTTGCTAGTAGGCTAGAGAGGGAAGGCTGGCTAAGGCCCATTCATCTGTGGTTCCCTCCTCCTGAGGTAGGGAATGTCTCAGAGAGGGCGAGTATCTAGAACTTGGGAGGGGAAGCAGGACAACATTAGAGATGTGAAGGCCTTCCTTGTGACGTGCCTACTTTGGCAGACAAAGGCATTTTATAAGATGGTAAAACAAACTGAGGGTCACAGAGGGGGAAAATGAAGGTGTCTGAGTTTCTGAGAGACAGAACATACCCAGAGCTAGCACCAAAGACACTTAGAAGGAAGGGAAGTTTGCAGTGGGTCAGGCAATGGACACAAAACCCACGGAAGGCAAAGGGGACAACACAGCAGATCTTGCTAGTCAGAGGCTTGGGCTATGGTTACCAAAATTCCTTTCCTGAGGAAAATGTAATAATGTCTAAGGTCCCACGGACACATCCTGGGAGGATGACACCAAAGTTCACTCCAGGGAATCAGTGAGTTTGTTGCTCTTACTTACAGAGCACAGACAAGGGGTTACAGACAGGAGTGTGGGTGCTCCCTCCCAAAGGCCCCACTGGAAAGTCTCTACCCAACAGGAGTCGTTGCTTTCTCATAGGTGTCTAATGGAGGCCTCTCCTAACCCTTACTAGCCCGTATAAACCAGACCCATTCTGCACAGCAGTCAGAGCAGAACTGCACACATGTGGTATGAAATGGTAGGGTCCTGTGACCCTCTCCTCCCCATCCTTCCTTCTAGGGGATCCAGGGGGTTTTAACAGGCCATAAGCTCAGTGGGTTGGTCTTGCAAGCCAGCACAGCTGAATTCCCAAAGATGCTTGGCTCAGAGGTCAGAGGTTAGAGGTCAGAGGTTAGAGGTCAGAGGTTAGTCATGAACAACATTAAAACCAGACTATAAGGAAAGAGCCCAAGCCCTAGACACATTTTTAAGTACAAGAGCACTAAGGATTTAGTTCTGTCCAACCTTCAAAGGTAGTATTGTCCCCTTAACAACCTTTTGGCTTGATTCTTTGGAGCCAAGACAAGATACAGAGATCCAGATTACTGTGTGATAGTAAATAGTCACTAGCTTAGTCAATTTCCTGGAAACACAAGTTCTTGAGCTTTAAGAAAATGGGGTAGCCACAGCACCATCTGTACTCCCCCCCAATATTCTTTCTTTTCTATGGTTTGCAGTTTCAAGGGTGGAAGCCACATATTGTGTGTTGGGCAAACACTCTACCCCAGCCAGTCCTTAGTATTCTAAACCGTGTGTCCATAGCCATTGCTGGAAGAAAATACTCATGTAAGCGGCTAGTACGGCATATTGAGAAACAGCATTTATAGCCTGCCCAAAAGGAGAAATAGGTCCTGGTGATTGTAATCAAGAATACTATGTCATATAGGAAAAAGAGGGGACTTCAAACCATCTGGTCACAAGTGACTCGTGTTGGAGATGAGGATCACAGTGCCCTGGGTCTTATAAAGATAGACAATTTTTAAAATTGGTTTTCTGACACTGAGTCTGAGATAGCCCAGGCTGGTCCTTCATGTGTAGCAGAGATTGACCTTGAACTCCTATCCCACCACTACTGTCTCCTCCTTGGCTCCATGTGCCAAGGCTACAGGGGTGTACTGCCATGCCTAGCTCCATCTGGTTATCTCTGGATTAAAAACAACAGCTTTAAAAAAATATTTTGGTAACTTCAAATGAAGTGATGCTCCTCACACAGGCCAGATGTCGGCAGGACCAGAAGACGTCAAGATGGAGTGCAGGGGGGGAAGGGGATGCCCAGAAAAGGACTTACGACCTCCAGCACTGGACACCACAAACCCAGGAGCACTACCACTTACACCCTGCTCACCCACACCGCATGACATAGAAGCAGCTAAAGTAACGATTCTCAACCTGTGGGTCTCAGCCCCTTCGGGGGTCAACCAACCCTTTTACAGGGGTCACCTAAAACCGTCAGAAAACACAAAGATTTACATCCTGGTTCATAACAGCTGCAAAATTACACTTACGAAGTAGCCACGAAAATAATTTTATAGCCGGGGAGACCATAACACGAGGAACTATATCAAAGGGTCACAGTGTCCGGAAGGATGAGAACCACTGGACCAGAGCCAAAAGGATCTGAGAACTTCACTTCTAACACGGCATAGCTGTGCCAACAACTGGCTCCACTGCTAGGCTTCCTCTCAGTTCCTACTATTTTACTTCTGGTTTTGCCTATGTGTCTCACAATGGTCTCTGTGCATTACTGAGTTAGGTTTTAGGATTGTGCTTATTTTTTTCCCCTCAAGTTTGCTATCAGGGTTTCTCTGTGTAGCCCTGGCTGCCTTGGAACTCCCTCTGTAGACCAGGCTGGCCTCGAACTCACAGATCTGCCTGCCTGCACCTCCGGAGTGCTGGGACAGAAGTCCTGTGCCACCACCGCCCTGCAGGCACTCTTTACCCTCCGGCTACGATTTTCATAGGTTCCTCCTCTTGTCCCTTCCTCTATCTTCCTTCTCTGGCCCTCCCCCACCCTTTCTTTTTACGTCTTAATTATAAACTTTGTCAATGCAAAAACAAACACAGATCTCAAATAAGAGATAGTTGATCATGGAACCATTCTGTGTGATCATGACCCAGGAACACAGACTTAGGTTACCCATAATTCCACGTTCCCACCAAGTATAATGGTATGAAGATAGGCATGAAAGAGATCCATTCCTTAGGGGCTGGAAGGATGGCTCAGTGGTTAAGAGTACTAACTGAGCTGGGCGGTGGTGGCGCACGCCTTTAATCCCAGCACTTGGGAGACGGAGGCAGGCGGATTTCTGAGTTTGAGGCTAGCCTGGTCTACAGAGTGAGTTCCAGGACAGCCAGGGCTACACAGAGAAACCCTGTCTCGGGGAAAAAAAAAAAAAAGAGTACTAACTGTTCTTGCAGAGGACCTAGGTTAGGTTCCCAGAATCCATGTTTGGTTGCTCACAACCACCCGAAACTCCAGTTTCAGAGGATCCAGTGTCCTCCTGATCCTTGGGTGCCTGCACACATGCAGCACATAGAAATCTATGCAGACACAAACACACAGATTAAAAATCTGTGTGTTTTAAGAGAGAAGGAGGTGAGCCGGGGAGATATAGGAGATCCTGCCTTGAAAATGCAAACAAATCCCAGCAAACAAACAATAAACACTACATTGTATACTAATCTAAAATTCATTTAAACTAAAATGGGGGTTTGGTATGCTCATGTATCAGGTTGACTAGATTTAGAATCGCTTAGGAGACACCTCTGGACGTGTTCACGGGGCTTTCACACAGGTTTTAAATGAGGAGAGGAGGCCCACCCTAAGTGCACACAGCACCATCCCATAGGCTTCCTGACCACAGATGCAGTGTGACCAGTTCACACACCTGCTGTCTCCTTTCCATGCCATGATGGACCACATCCTTGAAGCCTGAGCCGGAACAAGTGTCCCCCCACCCCACCCCCCAAGCTGCTTTCTCCAGGACGTCTGTTCACAGAAGTGACTAAGGCCCTGGCTAACAGAACAGCCAGGAACTGGTTTTGGAGCTTGGCCCCTTGTCACATGACCACACAGACTCCTTGCAGAAGAAATAGAAGCGGGGCAGGCAAGTTTCTGCGAAGTGAGAGTCCTGCAAAGATGATCTTTGTCAGAGTCTAAGTCTGTGGACTCAGTTCACTGGTGACAACACAGAAACTGAGGAAACATATGTCTCTCGGTTCTTCAACTCATTAAGCCCAATAACGGACAGGTGGGCCATCGCCATGATAGAGTCTTTGAACTGCCACATCTTACTGGAAGCCAGGGACAAGACACTGGTCCTCTCCTTCAACCCCCTTGCCTAAAAAGGAAAACACAACCAAGACAGGTCATCCAATTTTTGTAACTTTGTAAAGTGGTAAGATGGAGAATCTCGGAACTACTGTAGCTTTGTGCGAATTATTCTATACACACATCTTCAGAATGAAGAGGTCCTTCCTGCTGCTCTCCAACTTTCTGTATTACAAAGTCCTGCTCTGCAGTTCCTGGGTGACAAAGGTGGCAATTCTCCTATCCCCATTCTGGCCATTTTGGGGCTGGAGAGATGGATCAGCAATTAGCACTTGCTTTTCTTGCAGAAGATCCAGGTTCAAGTCCAGCACCTCCATAGCGGCTCACAAATATCTGTAACTGCAGTTCCAGGAGGACTGGGTGCCCTCTTCTGATCTCCTTAGGCACACACATGGTACACAGGCATATACACAAGTAAAACAAAAACAAAGTAAACCTAAAAACAAAAACACATTTTTTTTAGGCCAGTCTGGACTATGTAGACAATACAAAGCCAGTCTAGCTACATATTAAGAACATGTCTAGAAAAAAATTTTTTTAAGTTGTATTTCTTTGAAAGTGTTCTTCATACAGCAGCCCAGGTGGGGATGCTCAGCAGTTAGGAGCTTAGATTGCTCTTTCAGAGGCTCTGAGTTCAGTTCTCAAACCCATGTCAGACACATCACAACTGCTCCAGAAGGTCCTGCAACTCCATAAACATCTGTACTCACATGCACACATTCAAAGACACACACACACACGTACGTACGTACATACATACGTACGTACGTACATGCACACGCACATTTTTAATTTTTAAATGATTCAGGTTGGTTTAGCGTATGTCTTTTCTAGATGCAATGACAACCCAGGCTTGGCTTCAAATCATTCTGTATTTGAGTATCTATCATACAGAAATGTATACAGGTAAATATGAACTACTTTATGACAATTTATTAACATAAATGCCTTTCAAAGCACACTGCAGACGAGCAGGCAGGTGTCGGATCTTTACATGCATTTTGAAGGCGATCACAGAGAAGAAGCAGCTTTTTCAATGAACTGGGCCAGCTTCACGTCACGCTTGGTCAGGCCTCCACAGTCGTGCGAGGTGAGAGTGATCTGGACCTACGAAGACAAAAGCAGTTTTTCAGATCTGAGCAGGGACCTGTGGGCTTTCTCCCTGGCAGCAGGTATCAGTCTACTTCTCAACATTCATATTTGAGACCTGGAAGTTAGCTGACTCAGAAAACACATCATAGAGAAACACTGAGTTTCCCAGACCCATCGAGCTTTGCAGCAGCCACCAAAGAAACACTCCCAGAGGGTGAGGGGAGTCGGCTGCCAGCATGGAAAATCTCACTTCCTGAAGGATAGGAGACGGCAGGTCCATTTTAACTCCAGAACTTGACTCACACCAGCTCTGGTCAGGCCACCAGGGAAGGGCAAGCAGACCTGTCAGGCAGTAGCTGAGTGAGGTACAAAAGCTGCCGACTGAGGAAACGTGTGAGAACACGTCTCAACAAGAAGACTGAAAAGCAAAAAGAAACATCCAGGTAGGACAAGTTCAACCCGGAACTGGACAGTTAGGAATTGCTCCTTTTTTAAAATCACAAAGTGGAATTCTCATTTCTCAAAGATGACTTACAAACCTCCAGAGAAACCCAGATAATATCTATCTGGATATCTACCCGAATCTGAGACCATAAGGGCAGGATACTCTTGGGGGAGGGGGGTGTCCTCGCTGCACCCCTTAAAACTTTTCAGCCTGCCCTCTGGAGATCAAAACTTTAATAAACATTTACCACAAAGAAACGTTTTCTGAGATTTATTTCGGCGAGACACATAAAGCCATGCTATCTGATTTGCTACCATCCCTTTTAATAAATTATTAAAAGAAATAAACTATTATTCAGAGTTTCAAATTAAAACTCTGAGAACTCAGGTAACTGAGTTTGGCATGGTGGCACGTGACTATAATCTCACAAAACTCAAAGCTGAGGCAGGAGGATCTCCCTCAAGCCTGGTATTCATAGTGAGTTCCAGGGATACATAGAGAGACTGATTTAAATAAGAGACTCCTCCAGAGAAATCCCCTGCCACAAAAATTTTAGCTTCATGGATGATATCCAAGATCAACTCAGGAGCCTAATCTAACCCAAACTTCTGAAAAATGAGCTCTGTCTCAGGAGCGGCCTGCCTGCCTGCGTCACTGATTACCAAGGACACACCGGCCTCCTTAGAGAATACTTTCTCAGCACTTTCTGTGGAGTCATAAGTCTCTTCAATTCCAAAATTAAAGAAGTTCAGTCACCTTGTTGTACACGTTGAACCATTCTGGGTGGTGATTCATCTTCTCTGCTTGCAGGGCAACCCTGGACATAAAGCCAAACGCCTGCAAAACACCACATCCAGAGTAGTTAGTTCCCTGCCCCGCCCTGAGCTCTGGAGCTGGGAGACCCCAAAGCCACCCAACCAGATAAAGGCTTGCTGGCATGCTGGGGTAGCCTGGGAAATCACAAGGGAAGGGCTGCTCTCGGCAAGCCAGGGCACCGGGGCAGCAGACTGCTAGGTGGGGAAACAATCTGGCTCAAATAAACAAACCAGGAAATGAGTGTCACCTAGTGACCTGTCTGGACGGCTTAATTGTCCTAGGGCTCCCGACTGCACTGGAATAATTTCCCTTCAACCCAGCGCCCTGGATCTGCCTGCTCCGACCGAGGGAGCCAATTTGCTTCTTAGCTGTTCCTTCTGTTTTTAGTGGATGGGGTACTTCAGCCATCAGCGGCAGGGCTGTGGAGAAAGGCCAACAGCTGTCCCAGCCCACCCCTTCAGGGGACAGCCAGTGAAGCCTACCTTCACCACCATGCTACATGACTACAGCCCCACAAGCTGAGGTGATGGAGTGCCACAGCAGAAGATGAGCCTGGAAACAAGCCAAGGACCCCACCCAACGTGGGCAGCCAGGCTCATACCCCAGGGAAAAGAGATGCCAAGCAAAAGGCCTGTGTTTCTTCTTTGCTTTCTTTCACACTTTTATGATGGCGGCTGCAAATAATGATCCTACTTTACACACCCCCTCTAAGGCTCAGGGGCGTCTGTGGAAGGGGACCACAAAGTCCGTAAGAAGCTGAAGAAAAGATTAACTTTCTGACTGCCGTCTGGACTTGGCACATCTGGTGTGATCATGAGTGCACAACCATGCTGATTACCTGCACTGGGCACACACATGATTGGTCCTGTGAACTGTCAGTCATGGGTATAAATACATTTTAAAAGGAAGGGGAGGGTAAAATCCATTTAGCTACATACGGACTTATCCAGAGCAAACCAAATTTACTCTCCTGCCCCCTTTCATTCCAAATCTGATCCCCTAGAGCCCACGGCGGGTTTGAGTATTGTAGGGATGTCTGCTTCAGGTACTCAGACACAGGACTTCTGTCGAGTAGCTGGTTTTTATCCAGCATGGGCAGAAGTAGAGGACTTCTGAAAGGGCCAGCAGTGACAGACAGCAACGGGGTTAAGGGCCTCCTGGCCTTTTAAACCTGGGAACTCTGGATTCAAATTTTGACACTACGACATCACGGTCATGTGATCCTAGACTCCATTTTCCTTTTCTTTATCTCTCCCATGTAGCACAGGCTGACCTCAAACTTACTGTTCAGTCTCCTCTCTCTCCCACTCTCCCTCCTTCTCTCTCTCTCTCTCTCTCTCTCTCTCTCTCTCTCTCTCTCTCTCTCAGTTACTTTTTAAGATTTTATTTTTAAATTATGTGTATACTAGCCAGGTGGTGGTGGCGCACACCTTTAATCCCAGCACTTGGGAGGCAGAGGCAGGCCTGGTCTACAGAGTGAGTTCCAGGACAGCCAGGGCTACACAGAAAAACCCTGTCTCAAAAAACCAAAAAAAAAAAAAATTATGTGTATACGTGTGTGTTTGCATGTGGGTATGTACAACCTAGAGCTGGGGTCAAAGATGGCTATGTACTACCCACATGGAGAACGGAACTCTGGTCCTCTGCAGAGCAGCTCGCACTCTGAATCACTGGCCATCCAGGTATCCATCCAGGTATCCATCCAGGTATCCATCCAGGTATCTATCCAGCCCTTACGGGTTTTTTAATTGATTTAATTTGTTCTCAGACATTCTCACATATGTACATATTACTGATCATTCTCACCCCCACCAGCCTACCATCTCTACCCAAACCCTCCACAATCTCTCTCATGCATTCATGACTATTCCCTTTGTTTTGTCACCCACCGAGATTAGCCAGGGCCATCTGTGTGACATGAGTTTGGAGCCATCATGAGAGCCTAGTGGGCTCAGTGGCGGGCACACAGCTAAGGCAGTGACTTCCTCCTCACCCAACATCTAGGAAGGACCAGTAGTTCAGAGGTAAAGGGGCCTTAGGAGCACACCCCGCCCCCTGGTGCAGGCAACTGTGGTTGTGAGCTAATGACCGCAGTGGTTGTACAGGTTGTACAGAACCACAGTGAACTCAGGGCATCAGGCTTGGGGTATGACCTCTACCCACTGAGTCATCTTGCCATCCCTCAAGGTTCAGATTTGAGAAAATATTACAGGAGGCAAAGGCAGGCAGATTTCTATGAGTTTGAGGCCAGTTTGTTCTACACAAAGAGTTCCAGGCCAGACAGAACTATAGAGTGAGACCCTGCCGAGAGAGAGAGAGAGAGAAAGACAGAGAGAGAGAGAGAGAGAGAGAGAGAGAGGATGATATAAGATAGATAGATAGATAGATAGATAGATAGATAGATAGATAGATAGACAGATGATAGACAGATGACATCATAGGGCAGTGAGATGGCTTGGCAGGTAGAAACATTTGCCACATAAGTTGGACAATAAGTAAGACGAAAGAACCAACTCCCAAAAGTTGTTCTTTGACCTCCATATTTACCATGGTACACACACACACACACACTAATTAATGGCGATAACGATGATGACAAGAATGATATACATTTAATTTAATATATCTGAAATGTAAATAAAATATCCAATAAAAAATTAATTTAAAAAATTTTAATTTAGTAAAGAAGACATCACAAAGTCTAATAATCCCGTAATTTGGCTCAGAGGGCAAAAAAGAAATCCCAGCTGCCTCCTCCCACACAACACAGCAGATCTGTTATATACCTCGTTCCAAGCTTGCACCCTGAGAATGCCCATCGCAGCACACAAGTCACAAGATCTACGGCTGCAGGAGTTCGGATGAGTGGCAAGCGGGGAGAGGAGGAGGGAGGACTGTGGTTACGTGGAGGATGCTGAAGGAACCAAACAGCCACGTACGTCAGCAGTGAGCACAGGCGACGGTCCTCTTTCAAAAACTCCTCTTCACAGCCCTAGCTGCTGCTTAGCGAGGCTCCGGTTGGAATCTAATGACCTCGAGGTATTAAGAGTGTAGGCCACATTTTCCATATCCATGCGGTTTCTGGCTATTATGAATAAAGCTGCTATGAACACGGTTGAGCAAGTGTCTTTGTGGGTTGGTGGAACATCTTTTGGGTCTAATCCCAGGAGTAGTGTAGCTGGTAGAACTGAGGTAGAACTATTCCCAAGAAAATGTGGTACATCTACACAATGGAATACTACTCAGCTATTAAAAACAAAGACATAATGAATTCTGCAGGCAAATGGATGGAACTTTAGAATCTCATCGTAGTGAGATAAGCCAGTCCTAAAAGAACAAGCATGCTATGTGGTCTATGATAAGTGGTTATTAGCCATAAAAAACAGGATACCCATGCTACACCCCCCAGACCCAAAGAAGCTAAATAAGAAGGAATCCACAAGAAAGGAAGCTTGAATCTCAGAAGGGGAAATAAAATAGTCATGAGGGGCAGATAGAGGGAGGGAATCGGGAGGAAGAGGAGATGGGAAAGAGAATGGGGGGGGGTCAGGATCAGGTGTGGGGAAGGACAGGACAGACGGCTAGATGTCCACGAGAATGGACGGAAATATGCAACTAACGGAGATGGGAAGGCGGGAGGCATCTCCAGGATGAAACAGAAACCTGGGATAAGTGAGGCACCCAAGAATCAATGGGGGTGACCTTAGCTATGACTCACTACACTGGGAATATGGAACCTGAAGAGGCCGCCTCCTGTAGTCAGGCAGGAGCCCCAGTGGAGCAATAGGGACACAAACACACCCACAAAACTTTCAACCCTAAATGTATCCTGTCTACAAGAAACGTAGGGATGGGGGATGGAGGAGACTGAGGGAACGGCCAACCAATAACCAGCCCGACTTGAGACCCAACCCATGGGCAAGCACCAACCCCTCACACTATTAATGGTATTCTATTATGCTCGTAGACAGGAGTCTAGCATGCTGCCTTCTGAGAGGCTCCACCCAGCAGCGAGCGGCTGACTCAGACAGATACAGACACCCATAGTCAAACAGTGGATGGAGCTTGGGGGCTCTTATGGGAGAAGGAAAGATTGTGGCCCTGAGGGGGATATAACTCTACAGGAAGACCAACAGAGTCAACTCACCTGGACCCTTGGGGCTCTCAGAGACTGAACAACCAACCAAAGAACGTACATGGCAGGCTGGACCTAGGCCTCCCCGCACATAAGTAGCAGATGTGCAGCTTGGTCTTCATGTGGGTCCTGAACACCTGGGGCAAGGGCTATCCCAAAAGCTGTTGCCTGTTCTAGCTGGGATGCCTTGTCTGTCCTCAGTGGGAGAGGATGTACATAGTCCTGCAGAGACTCTCTGTGCCAGGGTGAGGAGATGCCCAGAGGGGCTCCCACCCGCTCAGGGAAGGGGATGGAGATGAGGGAAGAGCTGTGGAAGGGGGTGACTGGGAGGGGGGCAGTGAGCAGGATGGACAGTGAGTAAGTAAAATAAAAATAAAAAATTATTTGAATCAAAAAAAGTAAGTGTAGCCCTTCTAAATTCACTCCACTCAACAAAGCTGGAAATGGAACAGACTCCCAACAACCCAGGCTGATAAGGAAAGGGCAATGAATAAAAGCCAACAAGCGGGAGAGGTGGCTCAGTGGTTAAGAGCACTGCTGCTCTTGCAGAGGACCTGGGTTCAAGTCCCATCACCCACATAGCAGATCAAACCAACTGTAACACCAGGCCCAGGGGATTCAACGCCCTCTTCTGAACTCCCTGGGCACCAGGCATGCACATGGTACACAGACATGCATGCAGGCAAAAATACCGATAAATATAAAATAAAGAAAAGAAAATAAATAAACCAACTACATAAAGGAATTAGAAAATAAATAAATGAGAAAAATAAAGGGTCTGACAAAAGCCTACTTGCCACAGCAAGGGGAAAAGTCATAAATGTAGCCAGGGGACAGGGAGGCTCAGAGGGAGAACACTGGGCATTGGCACATACAGAAGCCCTGG